CCTTTCCTCTGAAGTCTTGAGTATTCTGGGTCTTCAAAATAAAACAGAAGTCAACTAGAAGTTGTTTACAAGGGAAAAAGACATGGAATCAGGGCACTCAGAACTCTGATGAAATACAAATAAAATTCAGCACTATTTAATAACCAGGAGCAAAAAGAAAAACTCTTGGAGAGGAGTTATAAGCCTCTGCTCAATGCAGCTAAAGACTTTACTGAGGCAATCAAGGTGAGAAAGCACGTATCTCTCAAAATTAATTTCCAGAAGGATTTAAGTATTGACTAACAGACTGAACATCTCGTTACTGCAAAAAATACTATGAAAAAGATTTACACTTCAGGCTAGAAAAAGATAGACACAAGCAACTTAATGTTTTGTAAAAGTAATCTGAAGATTAAGTTAGTAAATTATTTTTAATATGATTATTTAGTCAAGATTTATTTATGCAGAAAAAAAGAAAGAAACCTGAAAGGCAAGGTGAAAGTGCGAGGTCTAGTGTATAGTGTTAACTTTATAGGAATGGTGAAGATGCTACACTTCCAAACTTTCCATTACTGTGTGACACAAATTTATACAGAACTGTGCTGCTGGTAAGACCTGTAGAAGAATAACTCAACTTTGTAGTTTTCCACAGCAGAAAAAATGTTAGGTACCGATGGTAATCTATAGGCCCTGCCAAAGCTAGATTGGATGCTGGTGAGGTATATGGGAATGTGCTCCTACACAGATGTTGTACTAAAAACACACTTCCATATGTCACTCAGTGTTCCATTTTCCAAGCTATCTCTGAGGATTTAGTATGTGAGGGTATGTGGCTGGCAGATGGGTATTTCAAAATAGATGATACAGAGAAGGGTGTGTATTTCATTAGAGACAAACAAATATACTTAAAGGCTCTCCTTTAATCCGGAGTTTGAGTGCTGTGGGAATAATCTGAGTTCAAGGGCCTACATGATTTTTGTGCTACATTTTGCCTAAGGGTAGTCTAATCCCATCATCTATTGCTACAGGCAATAATGGAGAAAGATTTGCAGAGACAGTACTCAGACTATGACTAATATGATGCAGTATGGTATCATTGCTAACATCCTCAAAGAAGGCAAATTTCATGTAGAATAATTACATAAGAATTTTAAAAGTGTATAGAGAACCCCATGGCTACTGCAGCAGCCAGGCATTGATCTCCTTTATCATCTAGGTAACTCTTTGGGTCAATTCTCACCATTTGTGAGAGTCTTGAGTTGTATGATAATGCTTTTAAGTCTCAGAAGTGGAGGTGAAAGTCCTTAAAAGCTTTCTGCTGTAAATAAGAATGTCTTTGCTTATGTATGTATCGCTGTAGCACAAATAGATTACCCTGAATTATCCACAGGTACTGTTGGACAAGACATACAGAATGTTTGGTCGGAAACAATTGCAGAACATACCAGATAGACATTAAATTAGTTTTGTTTAGACTCACACCAAAAATCACTCTATGAGGAAACTGTCTGTTAATAGAGAATGCAAAGATAAGACTTTGTCTTAAGTGTTAATTTGTAATAAAAAACTATGTTTTGATGAAGGAAACATCAATAAATCATTAGTAATGCTACGTATTGAAGATCGTTAATAATTTCTCTGATAAATAGGACAATGTAATCCAAACTTCATTAGATCAGAATATTCATCAGGGAAGAATAATATGAAATATCTAAATACTTCAGGAAACTTATTCTTGCCTTGCATGCCTGCTGTCCAAGCTACTGACATTACGCATACGTAAATGAAGTTCAGATAAAGTATATTTTTTCATTCACAGAATCACAGAATTGTAGGGGTTGGAAGGGACCTCCAGAGATCATTGAGTCCAACCCCCCTGCCAAAGCAGGTTCCCTACAGCAGGTCGCACAGGTAGGCATCCAGGCAGGTCTTGAACATCTCCAGAGAAGGAGACTCCACCACCTCCCTGGGCAGCCTGTTCCAGTGCTCCGTCACCTCACTGTAAAGAAGTTCTTGCACACACTTGTGCAGAACTTCCTATGCTGCAGTTTCTGGCCGTTTCCCCTTGTCCTGTCTCCACTCACCACTGAAAAGAGTCCGGCCTCGCCATTCTGCCCCCCACACCTCAGATATGTATAGACCTGGATCAGGTCCCCTCTCAGTCTTCTTTTCTCAAGGCTGAATTCCATTCTAGTAGATCCCTAGCTCTCACATATCTAAAAGCAAAATGGAAAATTATTGCTAAAAGAAAGGATAGATAGTCAGCAAGAATTACACATACACAAAGAAGCTTTCAATGCCAACAATTTAAAAACAGTAAGAGTTTTAGTTACTGTGGGAATTCTTGTTATTCTTCTCTGGTGTTGGTCAGATCATGCATATCTGACTTGAAAAAAAAAACAAAAACAAATGTTGAATTTCAAGTTAATTTTTCTTATGATGTACTGTGACCCTCCCCTAACGAGTTAATCCTTCCAGTGTAGCAAACAAATTTCATGTAGTTACTTCTCTTTCATAAAGAACTATTTTAGTAAAGTGATGCTAATGAACTTACAAATTTGAATTTGTTTGTGGCAAACAGGGATTTGATCTGATTGTGCTGGCATTCAAGATCACTGGGATACATGCTGCAGAGTACTTCAAGCTAGCATTGCACTATAGTTAGTAAGCCCTCATGAAATGCAGGACCTGTGAGCAGAGACACAGTACCTTGCCAACATGTTAATTCCGTTCTGTGCAGATGTATTAGTCAGTACTAGCCTAACCTTTCTGCGCTTCAGACATATGCTCAGTTTTGATTTGCTTTTTCAAAGTAAATTCTTAGTGGCTTTGGGTTAGAAAGAGACTTGCAGAAATTGTAGATGAGACAGAGACATCTAAATCTGGAGTAACAGCTTGAAGAGGTGTGACCTGCTTGTCCATTTCATTTTGGAGTGCTGCTAGCTCATCTGCAGTGGCAGTGTGAGTACAACATAAAATGACTCCCTACAAAAGAAAACAATATATGAAAGAATTGCAAGTTTACATGTTGCTTTATTCTTGAACAAGAGACCTCATCACAGCCTTTGCAACAACCCCGCTCAGACAAATGCTGACTGAAAGATGAAGTTAGCTAGATGAGAGCTAGTTAGTTTATTTAATGCTCCCATTCTGTCTAGAATTGGTGATGTTCATGTATCGAGATGTATCACAAAAATATTTCACATCTGAAATGCTCTTTACCAGCGTCAGGGAGAACTAACAAGACTGGAACTAGTATGTGCTAGTATGTGCAAAATTTATCCAGATAATACTCATAACTATAGTAGTGTAGATGTTTGATATGTATAATAAAGAATTGACAGAACAGGTGATGAGCAGTTTGAGAGAAGAATAAATAATATGAGCAATTTGGATTTCAAAGGTTGGAAATCTGTGGGCTGGACAGGTGTTACCAATAATCTTGAGTCTTCGGTGATTAAGATGGCTTTTTCAGAAGATCCTTTCAGGCCCCCCAAATGACTTACCCTCCAAAAAGACTGGAGGGTTTGTCTGTTGTGATAGAGAACTCAACTGGAATTACAATTTTGATGCAGGAATATTAAATGAAATTGTGTAGATCACTTGTGAGGAAGGCCAAGCTGAATGTCTGGCAATCCATTTTTTAGCATTAAGACTTCATGTGTGAAACTATTCATAGCAGTTGAAGGTTTGAATATGAGCTGGATCGTACTCAGTAAAATTTCAATAAGTTGTAGAAACTGTACTGGTACAATATGGTTTGATACTGAGAATCATAGAGTCTTGATCACTGTAATAGAGCATCTTAATCATAAATTGTGCAGGTTTTGTATTGAGTTATTAGAAGCAACAATAAAAAGACAAGTTGTTTTAGTAGGTACGCCACATATAATCTGCTGTGAAATTGAAATGGTTATTCATTTCCCGTAGCTAGAGTAGATCATACTGTAACGCTTCAGAAACTGCAATACCTGCAGTCCTAGAGTCTTGTACTAAGTGGGATCCATACAATTTGATGTTAGTGTGTGTAAAAACAAAGCTGTAGTAAGAACACATCACTACACGGCATTTTTTATTCTGGTTGACATTCTTCTTTTTCCTCAGTGAAAGTTGTATTGCAGTTTCTCAGTGAATTACTGATTTTTTTCAATATTCATTTCTATCTCTACAATATGAGACTAGTAGTACATGACATTGTATTCTTTCAAGGAGTTATCAGTAGATGAACTGAAGAGACAGTTGAAAGTTTCTTCAGAGGATCTTGTGAGACATTTCCTGTACCTGTAAAAATAGTCTGGCTCCACTGAAGCTGCTCCAGTTTATCTCAGCAAGTATCTGCCTATCTCTAGAAGGTGAGCTAGGCTGAAAAGCAAGGAAAATAGTTCTCTCCAGACCTACCTACCTGTGGCGAACAGAAGTCCCTTCATTTTAACTATAAACACAAACAAGTAACTTATCCTGCAGTTGTTTTGTATCAAATTTTTGTATGTTATAAATTAGTTTAGAAACAAAATCACAACAACCTGGCATTGCTATTGTATTGTTGATTTTTAAATATTGACCTTTAGGAAGCCAGTAGCTTACAGCTGATACATAGTAGTGTTTGAGATAATAATTTTCTATGCAGAAGAGAGTAGCTGCAACATCTGAGTTACTGCTAGGGTACTGCCACTTCAGCCAAGCCTGAAAGCACCTGTGAAAGAACAGGCAATCTCTCTCTCCCAAAGTCTAATGTGGCCTTATTAGCACTCACCTGTCTCTGAGAGCCAAGAGAACCAGCTGTGTATCCCATACAGCCTTACTGAGTAGCAGGGAGAAGGGCTGTCCAGGAGAACATTTATAGAAACTGTGATACAAGAGGCACGAACAAATCACTCTTGATTCAGAGAGGAGGAAAAGGATCAGGAAAAACTCATCCTTGAAGCTTAAAGACTTTTTGCTATTCTTCTGAGGGATGTCTGTACTGCCTGCAGAATCCAAGACTGGAGATCGAATCAGGCTTTATGATTCTGCTTCCTTAGATTTTGGTCTTTGTGGTACTCCTTGTTTCTTCATGGAAGAATCCGAACCTCGACCAAATACCGTGGGTTGTGCTCCACATCTTGTGAGTTCTCGACTGTGGATGTTCGCCTAGTACAACAGAGGCCAATGCAGAACAGGATGGAGAGCTGTGAGCACAATACAGTAAGATGTGTTTGGACTAATTGTGGAAGAAGTCACTCACAACGATAAAAAGGAAGGAGTAACTACCACTGTTGCAAGTACGTGTATTCTGTACTGGGACCTGGAAATACAATTGTGAGCCCATGGGAAACAAGGTAAGAACCAGAAATAAAATGACGTAAATACTGATGCTGCAAGAATGTGGAGTAGCTTGAAAATGGTTTGAACTTTTATGAGGATATTTTTGAAACAATTAGTGAAATACATGGGAACATTTCCTTTCAGGGTTATTCCTGATTAGGGAGAATGTAGTCAAAGCAGTAAAAAAAGTTTTGTAACTGTTTACTGTAAGGATGTTTGCTGATACTTCTATGTCAGGTATATCATTCCTCGTTATGCACTTGACTAATAGGGCTAGCAGAAACCTGTAGCTCTAGCTTTAGTAACTGCCACCACCTGGCAAGGGATAGCAAAGAACCTTACCATCTCATATGTTAAGCATGTTGTGAGTCCATGTGCAAGTCTCTTACTAATATACTGAGCAGAAACACCATGTAGAAGGGAATTTAGAATGTTGCATGTCTACATAGGACATCTGTACTTGGAAACAAATGGATATGACTGTAGTTTTCTTCAATGTGGTTTTTTCTGTCTTCTCTGTTTGGGGCTAGAAGCATACATTTTTACTTCTTGAAAGAAAGTCTGTCCTGTAAATGTGCCTAATGTCAGTGTAGCACTAGTCTCTACTGTACAGCTCTGCGGAAAGCATCCTCTTAAGTTGTCCTAATTTAGCTCCCTGAAAGCTCCAGTTTATTGGAGAAACATTGGTACTGACCTGAACACAGCTTTCATCCCTAAAACTGTGTCTCTGAGTGTTATCTGTTGGCACAGTGTGCACCCTTATTACATACTGTTGGCACTCTACCCGAGTGCAAGGCTGTATAACAGAGGCTGGATGGAACTAGGAACTTAGCGCAATATATAGCAGTTCTAATTAGGACTTAATTTTTTTTACTGTGCCCAGCATGTGCCCCCTGTTTTTTCCCTTACACGTGTGAGGCCTAGGCTTGTAGATGATCATTTGCAAGGTTGAGAAGGATGGGTAAAACTGTTAAAATAGTTTATTGGTATAGTTCTCAGGCTCTGCAAATTGTGTGGATTTAAATAGTAAATCGGAATTGTATTCAAGTAATACTGTATTTATTTTGATATAAATCTTTCTGCTGTGGAAGCTTTTGCTTTGCTGAAAGTTACAGATACACTGCTTTCTATTCTCCTCCATGTTTTGATGGTTTGTGAAATGATCTGCCCAGTATCTCTCTAGTCACATAAGGATAAATAGGATAGGTACTGAGCAATCATCTAGACTTTGTCTTACTGTGTCTTTACTTAACCAACTTCAAGTTTTGTAGGATTTTTATTTTCTTGTTGATATTTTTTTGTAAAGGTAGTTGGAAATGTTAATTTTTCCAAAACTGCTACTTAATGAAGAACCTTAAAGGCTAGCCAAAATTATCTTAGATCATATTATGGTTACAATATTATTTTATTTTCATATTTTAGCTCAATAAAGCTGATGTTCACAGCCCAAAAATAAATGCATGTTCCGTAGTAACTCTTTATTTGTATCGGGATTTAATTACATAATCGAATAAAGATAAAACAAACCCTTTTTAGGATAGGCATTTGTTACAATTTATGTTGTTTTGTTATGTGTAATAACTGCTAAATTTTTCCCAGGCTGATACGTAGTAATATGGGCACTGAGAATGAGAGAGAGAACAGTGATCAGAAGGGTGATGCTTTACTGTAGTGAAAGTAAGATTGGTAAGGAGAAAGTACTGCCTCATTTACTTTGTGAACCTTTCTGTGGTAGCCTGAGACATTTTTATACATTCTTCAATGGAAGTAAAGCAATAAGATGGACAGATGAAAATTAACTCTACAGAGCCAAGAAAAATACTTGTACCAGGCTTGGCTAAAGGAAGAAATAAATGTCTTAACAACTTAAAATCAGTATGCAAACTTCTTTCACAACTTCAGTTTTTATTATGAGATCAAAGCAAAGGCTTCTTGTCAGAAATAGTGTTTTGTAATTTCTTTATGTTATCCTTATCCTCTTTTTCAAAGTCTGTAAGAGATGTGTGAAAGACTTAACTAGTGTGCTGAAAGAAGACAACATCACTGTTTGTAAAATTGGTGAGATTTTCATTTTATGGCAGAGGAAATATGTATTTGCTTACACAATTTCTTTTTTCAAGAAACTTCTGTTTCATTAGTTGTCTGCCTTCATAGACATTGTATTCCACTCAACTTTATATAAATGTAGTGAGAAAGTCATATCCAATCTAAGTTAGAATTTTACAATACAATACCTGTAAATTACTAGTACAGGTATTGTAAACTGTGATATGTTATCTTGAAGAATGAAATATATAAGTGATTTACAGCTATTTCAATAGTTAGGGTGAAGAAGTGATCACCTGAAATATTAATGGAGTACTGAGTGCCACAGAGTACTGTTTTTCAGTTTTTCCTTTACTTTCTTTTGTGCTTAATAGGACCACCAGAAAGTTTCTTTTCTATCTTTTGTTAGTTAATTGCCAATAGTGCAATAGCATTTAATCTCTCTCCAGAAATACCTACACTATTAGAACAGCATTTACCTGCCAATCAGTTTTCTGTCCTTAAGTTTTCTTTCCAAGCTTTCCTGTTCTCATCGATTTTGAATGTTTTCCTTGAAATCCAGAGGATTAAAGCTGAAGTTCAAAAGCTTGAGAATATTAATGATGTAGTTAGTCTGTTTGTAACCTAGCCATGGGCAATTTGAATTTTGATTCATTCTATTATAGAAATACATAATAATTTGAGAGAAGAAGTGTTTTTAGTGTTTAGGGACTTCTAATGGTTCCTGACTGAGAAATTTGTAGATGAAGGGTTATCACCATTGTTTCTGCCAAAAAGGTAGAGGACTTGAAAATTGTAGTAACTGGAGTGATAAGCAGAGGCAGACAAGAAGAGCAGATAAGGTGACTAGGAGCATCTAATAGGAGTGCTAAACTACAGTGAAGGTGAAAGAAAGGCTAACAAACTCTAACTGCAAGTGGGTGCTTATTCCCAGCTGTCACATGGAGAAGAACCTGTATGTTTTGTATGCCACGTCCTGAGATCCAGTTGCTAGGATAGGTGAGAAAATGGACTCCTGATATGTTTGGATTAAGGAAGAAAGTTTTTAGAAGCTCTCATTTCCCTTTTCTCTTAAGATTTCATGGGGAATTTCTTTAGTTAATGAGAAAACTTTTGTATTCTTGGGACCAATGCATCGTGCTGCCTGCCAGATGCATCTTGTAAAACTATTTCTTTGCTTTTTTTTTGTTTTTTTTTTTTTGCTTTTTTTTTTTTTCTCTCCATTTTGTAATTACTCAAAGGCTTCAAGAAAATTCCTATTCATTTCATTTTTCCAGGGATACTGGAGAGTTCTGTGAATGCACTTGCAACTTTCTCCTGTTCTTCTTCAGAAACACTGGATCCTGGTACTGTTTTTCTTCCTTTCAAATGTGTTTTAGATCTGTTGCTGGGGAGGCTATTTTCGTTTGCCAGTTACAGATGGCTTACTCTCTTCTAGCACTTGGATAGTACCTGTTCTGCTGAAATCCAGTAGTGCTTTGACTTGCATCCCTGTTTCTGTCTTTTCTGAGAATTGTGTGGTCCCTCTTGGTACACCATACCTTGACACACTCTCTTTTTTTTTTTTTTTTTCACGAGCTATGTTTGGAAATGTGTAGTATTTCAGGGAGATAAAAACAATTCATCTGCCTTTGTTTGGCAGAAGCTGGGTCATCAACTGGAATAAATGTTACTTCGCTGTTGGCTTGCCTCCTTTCATGTTCTTGCTTCTTCACACTTTTTAATTCTGTGTGGGAGAGGGAATAGGGATATAAATTCATAGTACTATCAGTGAAACATTTCTATGAAACTAGTACTTCTCTAGTGTTTATAGATAAAAGTAATTATAGAAATGTTGGGGCAGACTGTAAACAGAGATCAGTTCTTCACACTATTTTGATACAAGAATGAAGCGAATGAAGTGATAGTAATAAGAGCCAATTTGAAAACAAAGAGAAATTCAGGGTTCCCTGTGCTAAAAATAATTGAGCTATGCAATGCCCCAGAAAAAGTTGCTATGGATGCTGTAAGTTTGGATTAGTTCAAGAAATTAGTTAAAAAAAAAAAAAAAAAAAAAAAGCAGTCTCTGTCAAGAATTGCTAAATTCATCAGAACCTCATCCAAGTCAGGAAGTCTCTAGACCAAAATTAGCTGGGAGGTAGAAGGGTTCCACTTTGGGAGGATTAGGGTTTGACCTTAAAAGTATACATTGCCACTCTTGGAGGAAGACTAGTCATTGTTGTGACCTTTGTCTGACATAGCATTGCTTTTCTTCTGTTAAAATCTTATTTTCAGTTTGCAGTTGGTAGTGTCAGAGGAGCTTGGGTCACCTCTGTGGCTCAGCTTTTATAAGATTTATTAAAGAAGCAGGCCCCTGAGGGGCCCTAAGTCTTGAAATATGTACCTGCTCAAGAAACAGGAGGGAACTCACTATGATATTTTTTTAAACATGTGTATTCTGATCTTTCCTAACCGTGAATTGTTGGCACCTTGCAACCTCACCCACTTCACTGACCTGCTAAAATGCATCCTGATTTTCTGTCAAACTTGATGAACTTGGAGTATTTTGCTAGCAACTCTAGAAGTTATAGCGTATTTGCCCCATATTGCTTTCATTGCTTTACATCTTCCTTCCCCTTCTCTTTGTTGTTGTTTTGTTTTATGAGAGTAAAATAAGCAATTTGAGGTCAGCACATTATTCATATCTGCTGTGATAGCCAGAGGATCTGAGTTGCCTTTTCTAAATAGTCATTTTCTTTTGGTTATAAAAACTAGCTTTAGAATTTTGAAGGCTTTGATGCTCAGTGGAGTGCACTTTCCCGGTGTGTGATTACTTTAGAGAATAAACATTCAGGGCACAGACTATCTTGTGTCTATACTACACATTTTCTGCTTTTATTTTGAGGATTGTGTATATGTTCAAGAATATAGCTTGTTTATACAGGATGTTGGAGTGCTTTACAGGAAGGTCAATGTGTCTCTCAACACA